CAGCCCTATTTTCAGGGACAGTTGAGGTGATGTAAACTCAAGAATCTGAAGTGACTACTAACAAGGGATATATATTCAAAATGATTTAAGGAATTAGAACTATCTTTCAGTACTGCTTATGTTTTTTGCTCTGTCAAAAACATTCAGAAGCCAGTCCTTGAAATAATTTTCCCAAGATAACTATTTCACTGTTTTTTCAGCTTTTGATGAGTCTGGTTCTGCAATCACCTTCTTTTGAAGATCTGCAACTACAAGATTTTATCAGCTTAGACGGAGGAAAGAAAATTCATTATAAACTGCACTCTAACTGGTTATGAGGAGTGAAGGATACTGAACCCTAAAATTAGGGGGGAAAAAATACAACACTCAAGTCAGAATTAGATAACCTTTACAAAAAGCAGCAGGTAGCTCTCACCTGGTATTTTCTTGTAGAAAGGGCAGTGTTTTTTTCTTGCTCCTTCACCTGTAGTAGGCAAGTCTTTATATTTTTTTCTCCACCGTGGTCGGGCACCAGAACTTACATCTGCAACAGCTCCAGTTTTACCTGAATTTTCTGTAACTGCTTCTACATCTTCCACAGAGCCTTCAGCTTTCCTTTTTTGCTGTCTGGGACTCTTCCCATTGGGAGTTACTGAACTTGACCTCTGCTTTCCCTCACCCAAACATGTCTCTCTTTTGCTTTCCTCAATTACTTTGGGTTTTAACCCAAAGAAAACACCAATGTCCATTTGTTTGAGTTCTTTGGCAGAAGTGGACTTGGCACTCATTCTTGCCAAAGAAAGAGATGGTACTCTTTTAGAGATGGGGCTGGGAAAGCACACAGCAGCTGTATTAAGATTTCCTTCTTTCTCCACTACTGACTGCAAACTCTCCTGGCAAGCCATTTTTTCAATTGCATTGGCAGTCATTTTATCTGTATTTAAAATGCTACTTGGGTCCCTCAAAATATCCCTTTTCTGTGTCAGAAGAGACTCAGTATCTTCTCTGACTAGCAACGATGATGTCTCAGTAAAACTCACATATACAGAATCCACAGCAGAAGCACCAGTATCTTCTGACTTGGTGTTAACTGCTTTAGCAGCAGAGGAAATCAATTCTGGCTGTTCAACCTCCTCACAATTAAAAGGAGAAGAGGATCCACTGGCTGGCAGCTCTTGCTGATGCTGATTATCTGCACATGTTGAGTTACAGAACTTGCCCTTCATTCGACTTGGAGAAACCAGTTTTATGCTGTGATCTATATGGTTCAATGTATTTACTTCCTCACAGTGTTTTTTTTTAACAATATTTCCCATTTCGGTATGCTCATACTGAGGCTTCTGCTGTAAGAGGTGTCCATTAAATGTTTTAACTGCCACAGAATTAGATTCTCCATCTTCAAAGTTCCAGACTTTTAATAACTTATTTTGTGATATTTTTATTTTCTTCTCCTCTTCCTCAGTTTCCTCTTCACTTTCCTCAAAAGTACTCAGTGGAGAATAAGAAATTTCACAGTCACTGAAGTCTGCATTTGACTGCAGTAGACTTGGCTGACTTGTTTCTTTCTGACTACACAGATCTTCTCCTGTTCCACTTCCTTGAGAGGATGCAAAGTCATAAAATTCAAAGGTACAACTATTACCTGTGGTCTGTGTGAGCTGGAGTGTCTGCTGAGGCTTTGAAACATCTGCAAAAGAGGAAGTATTTTCCCTGGTTATACTCAGAGGCTTCATTTGCGGTGACTGCTGTACCATCAATGCACAGTCATTGTTTGGGACATTTTTTATGTTATTAGATGGTTTCTCATTCTGTGAGATTTCCTCTACATGACTTGGGGAACAGCTGGGCTTTGCAGCAGTAGAACATGTCATCTTCCTCTCTGAAGTGTTTGCTGAAGAGTCTACAAGATAATCTCCTGCCCTGCTTGCTGCAAGTAGGAAATGGCTGTAACGCTTGTAGTGCGATGGAATGGTGGAAGTGCACAGTAAACCATCAGGACACTCTACAAAAAGAGTTAAACAGAGAAGTAATGTTGATATCTTTGCAATTATAGTTGGCATAATTATTAAAATAAAAATCACATGCAACATGTAATTTAAAAGCTTTTTCTTGTAAATGCAGCTGTCAGAGGACAGAAGGCATGAGTAAAAAGTAATTTCCAAGCCGCCAAGACCTCATGTCCCAAGCTGGCTAGAAATGAGAATGCTCCCAGCCCAAAACCAAACAGCTGCTGCCAACACAGCACTATGCCCGAGTTAATACAGCCCCCGAGCAACAACAGAACTGAGCTGTGTCTCAATACTGCACTCAAGTAATCATGGGGCTTCCAGTTTAGAGTCGTCTCACACGTAAGCAGTGAGCTCTGAGAAGCATCATCAAAAAAGGCAGTAGAGATGTTCCAAAACAAATCCAACCTTGGTTCTGAATCAACATGAAACTCCATTTCAATTTGTCTGCTGGGTTACACAATTATTTTTTTTAAAAAAAAAGTCATGTATTTACTTATGTGAAGAAAGGATTCAGATGTCAGAAAAAAAAAGCTGTGGCAGTACTCTAAACCTTTTTTGTTGAGTTTGCTAGCTTAACTTTTCAGGATTTTAAGGTGAATGCATAAATCAATCACAAGGATTTTTCATCTGCTAATTACAGGAGTAATAGATGGAAATGATGTTAACATATCTGCCTTAAATTAAAACCACCGTCAAAATCAGGATTAAAGGGCTTGCATTCATTATTCTGAAGAAGAAACTTCAAGGAAAGTTACAAATATGTAAAAAGAAAAGTGACAGTGTTACCTACAAATCCTTTACTCAGGTTTCCTGACTGTATACTTCCTGTCTTTCAAAAGTTATGAAGTGTACTAAGAACCTAAGCTGGATACCTGGATTTGTTCAGACTTGGTATTTCTACACATGAAACTAGCAGTTGGAACGAGTCAGTCTTGTTCCTCTCATACAGAACTGAAAAGAAAACTGCTGTCTTATGATACAGGAATGCTCATGTATAATTCTGTGTAAAATTTCTACAGCATACTGGCTGAGGGGCTAACATTTAAATTAAATTAGTATAACAGGCTTATTTCAGCTTCATAACCGACTGATTTCATAACCGACTGATTTCATAACTGACTGATTTCATAACTGACCGATTTCAGCTTCCAATTGTCCATAGGCAACTGGACAAATCATACAGCAAGATGGATAAGGATAAAGAAATTTGGTGTAAAAAGTAGCAGCTTCCTCACTGAAGGAGGGTTTTTTTGCTGATGCTTGGTCATTGAAAAAGGTTTTTTTAATTTTATAAAAGTAAACACGGAGCTTCAGCTTCTTCAATGAACTACTAAAACCACAGCTTGATAAACAACCATGAATCTTTATCACTATTCTACAAAGTTTGATATTAGATTCCAATGAGATTTTCACATCAGATTTCCATGTTCTTCACAAAGAACCAAAAATGTAATTTGAAAATAATACTGACAACTGTTCAGTAATAACATTGTAAAAATCGTACCAACCACCATCTCAGATTTCGAACTAAATATGAAAACTAACCTTTACAGCAGCATTATGTAAGAAGCCTTTAACTTTCTTCTGAAGACTTTTTTGTTACTCTGTTCATACCTTTTTCAAAGGATCCTGGAGTATCCAAACATTCAGCAACGTGCCACCGAGGTGTCTGGACCAATAGCAAAGCGAAGGGCATCTGACAGCTCGGGCAGTATCCATCGTGGGCAGGCTTTGCGCTCTGTGAGCTCTGTTCCGTCCGGCTACTCACACTGTCCTGGGAGTGCACGCTACTCTCATCTTTACATTGATCCACATCCTGATTTGGCCCAAATCCCTCCTCAGTTTTTGGAAGACTCTCAGTTTTCTCTACGGATTTTTTTTTCTTTCTTTTTGTTTTTGGCCTGCACTTGCCATCACTTACTTTCCGCACGGGTGCAGAGATGCTCTCTGAATTAGTCTGATGCTTTTGCTTCCTAATGGACTTGTATTCCCAAATGTCCTCTTCCAATAAAGCATCTTCAGACATGGCAAGTCATGAAATATTCCCCTTTCTTTTAAGCAAGAGTTCACAAAGCTACCTTTCCCCCCGCTAGTATGTTTTCTCTTCCCTCCCTCCTTCACTATCTGAAAAAAAGCGCCTGAACTCCATTTTAAAAAACCAACGCTGGGCCACAAACCAAACAGCAGTCCGTGATGGGACAGAAGCATGATGGATCTTACCCTAAAAATAATTTAATGAGCGTCTCTTTGAATATTTGTGATCACTCCTGTTAAACAAACCTCGAGTCTGGAAGACGCGGGAAGACTCCCAGGGTGGGCCATTCCCTACGGAAGCACCCGACCCGGCCTATTCACCTGGGAGGTGAAGCCCAGGTAGCCCCGCTCTCCCGGCTGCC